ATCCATAGACTTTAGACATAGATCCATTGCCCATAGACTTAGCATTACCCATGTTATCCCTATGCCGTAGACTTAGCATTACTTATAGAAGCATTGTCATAGACTTAGCATTACCCATAAGATTAGCATTGCCATAGACGTAGCATTACCCATAGGATTAGCATTATTAAAGACTTAGCATTAACCATGTTATTCCTATGCGATGGACTGCATTACCCATGTTAAAGTATAGCCATAGACTTATGCTGTAATGCCATGTTAATTTCCCATAGACTCAAGAATCCCATGTTAAAGTATAGCCATAGACTTATGCTGTAATGCCATGTTAATTTCCCATAGACTCAAGAATCCCATGTTAAAGTACTGCCATAGACTTAAGCTGTAATCCCATGTTAAATCCCATAGAGCGGAGGGGAGCGGAGGGGTAGCCGAACGATCCTATAAACTACATAATTCATAATGAATTGTGATTAAAATATTAATAGACCCATAGCTTTAATTAAATGTTAATTATCTTTTAAACTATAAGTTATAAAATGTTTAATTTTAATTAACTTTTTTACTAATAATTTATATTATAAATATAAGTTATAATTTATAGAAAATATTAATAGCCCAGAGTTTTAATTGTTAATTATCTGTTAACTATAAGTTTAAAAATATTTATTTTTCAAAAAATTGTTAAGAATATTTTACATTAACAATGTAAGTTATATTTTTGAAAATTTTTGTAGCCCAGATGTTCTAATTAAATGTAAATTATCTTTTAAACTATAAAATGTTTAATTATAATTGAATATTTTACTAGCAATTTATATCATCAATATATGTTATAATTTATCAAAAATATTAATAGCCCAAAGTATTAATTAAGTGTAAATGATATTTTAAAATATTAGTTATCAAATATTTTATTCTATTTAAATTTTATAATAACTTATAATGTTATAATGAAAACCAAAATATATAAATTATAACATATATTGATGATATAAATTGCTAGTAAAATATTCAATTATAATTAAACATTTTATAGTTTAAAAGATAATTTACATTTAATTAGAACATCTGGGCTACAAAAATTTTCAAAAATATTAATAGCCCAAAGTATTAATTAAGTGTAAATGATATTTTAAAATATTAGTTATCAAATATTTTATTCTATTTAAATTTTATAATAACTTATAATGTTATAATGAAAACCAAAATATATCGAAATAGGTTTTCACTAGAAACTAAATATATAATGTTATATAATTAACTTAGTTGAGATAAACAAATAATATATTTATTAAAACTTGATAAATATATAAAATGAACAATATTTAAACAAAGCAATAATTTTGCAGAAAACAAAATAATATAACTATTTTTGTGGACAATAACCTTTTGTTTAAAACTAAATAATATAACTATTTCTGTGGACAATAACCTTTTGTTTAAAACTTAATAATATAATTATTTCTGTAGACCAAAACCTTTTGTTTAAAACTTAATAATATAACCATTTCTGTGGACAATAACCTTTTATTTAAAACTTAATAATATAACCATTTCTGTGGACAATAACCTTTTGTTTAAAACTTAATAATATAATTATTTCTGTAGACCAAAACCTGTTGTATAAAACTAAAAATAAAATCAAAACTCTGAACAAAATGCTATTTTGTTTAAAAAGTGCTTTCAATGCTTAAAGTTTGTTTTTTAAATGGGAGAAAACACAGTTTAATTATTTTTGTGGACAATAACCTTTTGTTTATAAGTAAATAATATAATTATTTCAGTGGACAATAACCTTTTGTTTAAAACTTAATAATATAACCATTTCTGTGGACAATAACCTTTTATTTAAAACTTAATAATATAATTATTTCTGTAGACCAAAACCTTTTGTTTAAAACTAAATAATATAACAATTTCTGTAGACAATAACCTTTTGTTTATAAGTAAATAATATAATTATTTCAGTGGACAATAACCTTTTGTTTAAAAGTAAATAATATAATTATTTTTGTGGACAATAACCTTTTGTCTAAAACTAAATAATACAACTATTTCTGTGGACAATAACCTTTTGTCTAAAATTAAATAATATAATTATTTCAGTGGACAATAACCTTTTGTTTAAAAGTAAATAATATAACTATTTTTGTGGACAATAACCTTTTGTCTAAAACTAAATAATACAACTATTTCTGTGGACAATAACCTTTTGTCTAAAATTAAATAATATAATTATTTCAGTGGAAAATAACCTTTTGTTTAAAAGTAAATAATATAACTATTTTTGTGGACAATAACCTTTTGTCTAAAACTAAATAATATAATTATTTTAGTGGACAATAACCTTTTGTCTAAAACTAAATAATATAGCCATTTCTGTAGACCAAAACCTGTTGTATAAAACTAAAAATAAAATCAAAACTCTGAACAAAATGCTATTTTGTTTAAAAAGTGCTTTCAATGCTTAAAGTTTGTTTTTTAAATGGGAGAAAACACAGTAATTGTAACACGTTTTTTTTTATTCAGCCGCTGTTACTTTTGTAACTCATAACATTATTATATTATAACAATTATTTATTTAATAAGTTATAATTTATAAATTGTTTAATTCTAATTTATTTTTTACTAAAATTTATCGAAGTACGTTATAATTTATGAAAAATTGTAATAGCCAGTTTTAATTGTTAATTATTTTTTAAACTATGAGTTATAAAATGTTTGATTTTATTTAAATTGTTTACTTACAATTTATATTATTTATGTAAGTTATAATTTATAAAAAAATTTAATAGCCCAGAGATTTAATTGTTAATTATTTTTTAAACTATGAGTTATAAAATGTTTGAATCTAATTAAATGTTATACTGATAATTTATATTATTGATGTATGTTATAATTTATGACAAATATTAATGGCCCAGAGCTTTAATTGTTAATTAACCTTTAAACTATAAGCTATAAAATGTTTAATTCTAATTAAATTTTATACTAACAATTTATATTACCTATGTAAGTTATAATTTATGAAAATTTTTTGACTCCAACTCTGGAAATGTTATCTCAGTATTATTTATAGTAATAGTTGTGCTGTCAATGTGCAGGTGTTTGTTTTTGAGGGATAATAAAGAACGCAAAAATGTGACAATACTTTTACTCCACATCTATTGTATTCTCCATTACAAAGATATTAAAATGTTAATTAAATACGTTCGGCACAATTAATTTTTAATCAATTCATTACAAAATCAATGCTTTTTATTGTTTTTATGTTGAGTTAAGCGATTGAAGTGGTGATACTTTTGCTGCACTTCTTGGACATATAGTCCATTGAGTGGAGTATAATTTATAATGGACTTCAACGGGAGAGAGGAGAAAAGCAGTTGAACGAGGGGAGTCGTGTGTGACCTTTAATGTATAGAGAGTTCACTCACCCCTCATCTCCCCTTCTACTAATTACTCGCTGTTACTACCCTCATTGTTTCCGCACCCCCTCATTGTTCCCGGACCCCTCATTGTTCCCGCACCCCCTCATTGTTCCCGCACCCCCTCATTGTTCTCCCGCTTTTGCCTCTTTGCCCCTCCTCTCCCCCTTATAATTAATATTAATTAAAAATAAGCCACGCCCCCGTGTCTAGCCTATCTCCACAACTACTTAAGTACTCAATTATTTTCCAATATGTTTGTAAAAAACTTTAAAAGATTAAGATATAAACTTAAATTAATAAACACTTTTATAATGGATTCAAAATATTTGTCATATAATTCACATCTCTTGTGTCTAGATAGAGAGAGAGAGAGAGAGAGAGAGAGAGAGACTATGAGAGTGACTGGTCTTAGGGCTTGAGTGAAAACTATAGACAGCGAGTTATTTATGTCTAAATTGACTTAAGACAAGACAAGTCAAACTAAATGTGATGTTTGAATGTTTGATGTAGTGATGAACTACTCGCTCATACATACGTATATTGCCATTGAGTTTAGGGTAAAATTTGAAGATTAAATAACGATTCAAAATTTAAAACATAACTATAGTCTATAGAGGAATACATCAATTGCTGAATATTTTGAATACATAGCTTCCACCCCATCACTAATACAGGGCATGTAATGGAAATGAAATTACTATAAATATGATAGATATTTAAAGGGGTATGCACTTCTATCAAAAACTTAATGTACCACACATTTCACTGGAATAGTATTGCTTTAAACATTTTTCAAAAAATATTAAGCAAATTAAATTAAATATAATTACTTTAATTACGATTTGATTAAACATTGCTTTAAGCAATCCTTTCACTTAATATTCTTTTGTTTTGTGAACAGTATATTAGACTGTAGTTAAGTTACAACTTATTCTTGTACAAAGTGTATGCGATGTTAGCCCTATCGTGTTTTTTACATAGAAATGTATTATAATAGTATACCAATATAAACACGTGTTAATCAGGACTTTGTAATGTGAATTTAATAAATCTTGTTGTTTTTATACATGTATTAACTATACTTTATGTTTATATAATAAACATTTCGTTTTCTTAAAAATCTTTTTTAAAATAAACAAAACTTTTGAAATAATAGTAGTTTTTATGATATAAGTTATATCTAATAACTTGCATTGAAACAATGCTAATTTATGAGACATAGTATAATATACACCCTGTACATTTGAATGACATTCTCTTTTAAACATTTACATTGAGTTAATTTAAATTTTAATAAATGTTTTAATATCATAGTGTTGTTGAAGAGGAGTGTATAAAAAGTAAATTTATTTATATACTGAGCGCTGTGTGCAGTATTTATACTGGTTTTTAGGCTGAAGTTGTTATGAATAAATGAAATGATTTAATAGAGAAGATGTACTCTAAAGGTTAAGGAGTGAGAGAGTGTAGGACTGAGTGATGTTTGGCGTAACTCTAAGTGAAACTGATAGCCACTGATAGACACTTATCTCTGTTTCACACAATAATATATTTGTTGGAGAGATATAGCAATTATACGCGCAATGAATTGCACGGTTCGGGTCCTACTAATTGCATCGTTTCGCTAATTGCACAGTCGATAAGCCATCGGACAGACAGCACAGGACAGAGCGTAGGCATAACCAGTAGTGCCAGCTATGCCTACGTTTAACCTGATATCCACTCTCATTATGACACTTCTTAGCCGTCATAAAAGTTTTTAAACATTTATACTATACGATCGGTATATACAGTGTATATACAGTGTATGCAAACACTGTTTTTAGTGTTTGGATCGTTAGTCTTCTCTTTGTGGTACTCGACAGGAAACATGTATTCACTGGTATATACTCCGTGTGCTCCTTGTCCTCCCTGTCCAATACATAAGTAGCTTCCCATACATTTCAACTTTAAAATGTTTGCAATCCATTAAATTGTTTGTCTGTACTGTAAATGCTGTGAATTTCGTTAAAATCTTTTCGAGTTTACCTTTTATACAGACAGTGAATATGAGATATCACTTATGATAGTTTGTAAGATAGGTAACAACACTTAAACCAGACTCTCCCTCTCAGTCACTACATTCACAATGCATTATATCATATAATTGTCATTTGCCTTAAAACTTAAGTTTGTTTAGAATTCGATAGTTTTGATAATATGTAAAACTTGTGTCCATTTATGCACAAAAACATATTTATTACATGCATTTGAGACAGTGTTTGTCGAGTCACTTACCAAACGTCCGGCTTCGTTGTTATGCAGATTCATTATAAACCTCAGATCTCGTCCCCTCTCAGCCGCGTCTACGAAAGCGCGGGCGAACTTATAGCCGAACTCTATGTTATCCGAACAGCCGCCCCATTCCCAGTCCAAACCATTCGGGCGACGGTTATTCCGGTAATCACAGGTACACGTCTCGATCAAACCTTATACATACAAATACATACAATTATATTCAGCAACATTATTCTATTCAATCAATTAATGCATACCTTCACTGCAAGCCCGGGCTATAGCGTGGGTCACCGCTGCACTCGTTATTGCGTAAACAAATGCCGTCTCTCTGCACCCTATTGTATAACACGTGAATTTTATCAATCAGTTTAGTATCGATTCAAGTTTTTAAACTTTTAATGACAGCTATTTTAAATAAAATGCTTGTTAAAAGCATTTTTAATTAAGAGTTATTAAATCCAAAAAAATAAATCGAAATTATCGATAACAATATATGTAACTTTCTTATACGTAAATTGTATAGATTACAGTCCGTTTGTTAGACAAGTTTATTTGTGATTTATTCTACATGAAGAAACGATACCATTGATAAATATTTGTTTTCACTTTAAAAAAATACAATTCTAAATAAATTAATATTTAGATCCTATACACTAAATATTGAGTCGTTTCTGTCAATAAATTAAGTGTTTTTATAGACTATTTTTTATAATACAAATAGATTGCAATTCCAATAGAATGTGTGATTCATTTGAGAGTAAATCTCAATAATTATTAAATTTGATATTTAAACGCTAAATACGTAAATAACACCTTATTTTTGACAGTATTGCTGAAAGTGAAGAAAGTGAATACCTTTTTGTATAATTTTGCCAAAAATACTTTTGCCTTTAGTGTAGTCAGTTGTGGGGCAATTCCAACGCCTGTCTTTGAATTGGTTTTGGCACTCATTAATAGCCATTTTCTTGGCCTTTGCCAACGCTTTCAGGACTCCGGGATTGTCGCGGACGAGACGGCGCTGTTTCTTACGGAGATTGACATTAATTTCATTGTACTGTCGGCCAGATATCGAATTCTTGTGTCGCGGATCTATTACATGATTACTCGCATCTTCGGAGTGTGTGATTGCCCTACGGATCACATTTCGCATAATTATAACTTATATAGTATTTAATTACAAAGTTATTATTTCAGTAAATATATTATTTTGCGTTATTTTATTTAAACATAATATTAAATAAAGTATCTCTCAAATTCATTATTTATCAAATTAACTATACTCTACTATATAA